CATAGTTCGACTACCTAAGCCGGGCAAGCCCCCTACCCAGCCACAAAACTTCTGGCCAATCTCACTCTTGAACACAGATGCAAACGCTTTGCCAAACTGTTCACCCTGATGCTAGAGAAGGTCCTACCCCATCTTATACATTCAGACCAAGTGGGATTCGTGGCGGGCAGGCAAGGTGCGGAGAATACCCGCAAAGTCCTCGACATAATGTACAGCATGAGGCAATTTAACCAAGGAGGGGGACTGGAGGTTTCTAGAAGCGGTCATGGCCAAGGTGGGAATACCGGAAGGGTTCGCAGCGACGGTCAAGGCACTAGAAAGCGAGCCAGACCACACTTATTCTTATTATAGCCAAATTTACCACCCTAACTCCTCCCACAGTTTTTACACTACATAGACAGTAATATACCGAAAAGTGCGGATTGTTCCCGATTGGTGTGCTATTACTTTGTGGAACGTTTCGTCAAATGGTTCAGGGAATATCGTCGTTCTTGTGGCGAAATTGGTTAATCTTCCAACTCCATAAAGTTACGCTGCCCAGTCCAACCTTTCCACAGTTACTCTAGCCACTCCTACCACACAACAGTTACTCTGCCTACTCCAGTTTTAGACTACTGGTGGAGGCAAGACCACTTCACACAATTTCCCCAGAAATTGTAGCTTTTCTAGTTATTAAGTGTTCTTGCATAGCAAGACCACTTAATGTTATCTCACATATATATTATTATTCTTATTATTATAGCAAAATTTACCACCGTAACTCCTCCCACAGTTTTTACACTATATAGACAGTAATATACTGAAACGTGCGGATTATTCCCGATTGGATTGCTATTACTTTATGGAATGTTTCGCCAAATGGTTCATGGAATATCGTCGTTCTTGTGGCGAAATTTGTCCCATAGGAATGAATGGCAAAATGTTCAAAACTAGAGTGAGAGCTGGCAAAATCAGAAAAATCAGGACATGATTTCTAAACTGCCATCACTCCCTCATTTTCAAGCCCACCTACACGAATCTTATATCAAAACGTTCAGCTATCCCTGCTGCCACATCTGTCCACATCTAAGCCGTAGTCCTGATAGTTTCACAATATGACCATTTGTTTGCAACTCACGCCGTCCATTGACATTCATTGAAACTCCACTCTAGCCAGCTCAAATTTGAAGGGTAATTTCTAAACTGCGACTGTGCCTTCATTTATATACTATACATATACATACTATGCATCCAAATGTAGGTCTGGGTCTTCTGATTCTCACAATATAAAGCTCTTTGCTGAAGGATTTATAGTTTTTAAAATATGACCGTTTAAAGATGGCAACTGCCAAAATACTCTGACCAGTGCCAGGGAAGTTTCTCCAGCTGCTAGGAAGCCATCCCACCGCTGCCAACCAAGGTAACAGAGCTCTAGTACTCCGACCGAGTACCTCCGCCAAATCTGCTTCCTTGTAGCTATCAGGGACACTGAAACACTTCAGACCCAGATGCCGAGGCTTGACTGGGATCACTTAGGGCCCTTTCCACCCTGGACCAAACACCAGTTGACACATGGTGAAGGTTAAACAGCAACTCTTTAAAGAATACAGCACACATAGTTTAAGCCCCCAATAGGTTAACCAATACATACAATAGGTTACATAGATTATTTTAGTACAAGGAAGGGTGGGGTCAGACAATAGCAAGGGCTGATGAGAGATTGAGGAGGGACAGAGCAGCTAGATTAAACTGGTCTGGCAGTGTCCCTGGGACAATGCCCTGCTGGGGAAACAATAGGACAGGAAAAGGGGGAGGGGGAGATGCACAGACCAGCAATACATTCAACATACCCTGCACAAATAATAGGCACAATGTGACAAAAAACAAAAGGAATTTGTGAGCCCACCCATAGTGTATGTCTGCCATCCCCAGTGATGGTGACTACCGTCACATAGTGTGTTTTAATGTAATTGTGAAGCACTTTGGGCAACAACTTTGCAATTAAATGTGCGATATAAATAAATAAATAAAAGTTGAAATGCATTTCTCACTCTATCAAGCTTGCCATGTGCACTTTTTAAATTTGATCAATCAATTGGTTAGTGTAATGTTTACTATCTTTACTCACTCCACACAGTTACTCTGCCCAGTCCAACCTTTCCACAGTTACTCCAGCCACTCCAACCACACAACAGTTACTCAAACCACTCCACCCACTCCAGTTTTAGACTACTGGTGGAGGCAAGAACACTTCACACAATTTCCCCAGAAATTGTAGCTTTTCTAGTTCTTATTATAGCCAAATTTACCACCCTAACGCCTCCCCCAGTTTTTACACTATATAGATAGTAATATACCGAAACGTGCGGATTGGTTCCGATTGGATTGCTATTACTTTGTGGAACGTTTCACCGAATGGTTCACGGAATATCGTCGTCGTTGTGGCGAAATTGGTCCCATAGGAATGAATGGCAAAATGTTCAAAACTAGAGTGGGAGATGGCAAAAGCTGAAAAATCAGGACATGATTTCTAAACTGCCACCACACCCTCATTTTCAAGCCCACCTACACAAATCTTATTTCAAAACGTTCAGCTATCTCTGTTGCCACAAAAAATGTCCATGGCTAAGCCATAGTCCTGATAGTTTTCACAATATGACCATTTGTTTGCAACTCACGCCGTCCATTGACATTCATTGAAACTCCACTCAAGCCAGCTCAAACTTGAAGGGCAATTTCTAAACTGCGACTGTGCCTTCATTTTTAATACTTCAGAGACATACTACGCATCAATGTAGATCTGGGTCTTGTGATTCTCACAATATAAAGCTCTTCGCTGTATGATTTATAGTTTTTAAAATACAACCGCTTGAAGATAGAAACCGCCAAAATACTCTGACCTCTCCACAGGGGTAGCCGTTACACTGATTATCCTCAGTCCCCCCCAGCAGAAACGCTGACTATGGTGCAGAGCGCCGCTGGCCTCTGCCCTACCTATCACTTTGTTCTGGGGCTTGATTGCCCACAAACTAACCCAGCTGAACCGCTGGCTATGGGGCAGAGCGCCTCTGCCCTCTGCCCACCAGGTACGGATGAGGGGAACTGCGCCCTCCGTCCCCATCGACAACTTGGTCCAACCAGGTGGGAGTGAATTCAGATTTTCCCGCAGGACCCTGGTTGTATAAATGGCCACTTGTGGTAGGAGGCCTTCTGGACAACTACACCTTTTGGGAAAGGCCACCAGACTATCACAGACCCAGTCCGATTGGAGGTCTTGATAGTCTGCCCGGGAGGGGGAAGATATGTGACAAACTCCCCTGCCCACATGAGTTTGCCATGAACTCCTGGAGGACCTTGCTTGCCATCCTCCTGCCCACAGATTATAGGCCCTGCAGGGAAACCTGTAAAAGACTACCGAACTTGATCGACCGTTAGCCCTAATTCCCTGAAACCGTTTTGGGCATAGGACCATGTGTACGGTCGGTCAAAACAATGACGTCCAGGAAATTCCTGAACCCCTGAACCGTTCTGGGTGATATTGGGATATGTTGGTCACCCAGACGGGGGCTATCAGGGGATGTAACGTTTGTGAGGGTTTTGTGTGTTTAAAGGTATTTTTGGGGTTGTGTAAAATGTATGTTTTCTGTGCCTGGAGATGATTGAGTTTAATACAGTGCTGACTCAATTATCTCCCAGGCACGGGGGAGGGATTGACCTATTTTGTATGGGAGTGTCCTGGACCTAAGAGCCAATGTAATCCTGTCTATGTTTTTACTGTAATAACCAAAAGCTGGTGTTGCGCTAGAATATTACTTTGTGTACATGGTTAGTGTATGTCTCACCAGGAAATTTTCATAAAAACCATCTGAAAAGATACATATAAAGACAATACAGTGCAGAACATCTGGTTTCAAATATTCTTATAGTGCACACTTATATAAAAGTTGGGTGTTCACACGCACATTTCCCAGAGCCTGATAAACCCTGGCTCTGGGTGGGATAAGCTCTCAATCTGGTGTCCTAAAGAGACCAAACGTTCTTCTGCAGCACTGTATGGGAGACAGAACCAGGAGCACACCAATGGCGCAGTAGAAAAGAATATATTTATATATATATATATATAAATATATATATATATATATATATATATATATTGGTAAAACAATTAAAATTGCTTACTTAGCAAGTTGTGGGCTTGTGATGTACAAGTTCCCACGATAAACGCTTGATTAAAAGTCAATAGCTCCAGTTACTTCCTTGTTCCAAATCCTGGCTCCACCCCCTCGTGATGTAACGCGTTTCACCCACGTGACTTGGGCTTCCTAAGACATCCAGATTTTTTTTACTGTAGTCTACTCTCAGGTCCATGGGGGGAGTGCCCCTTGCATGGGGACCTGCATACAAGGCCAGTTGTGGCTGTCAATAAATTAGTTCCAGTTTACCCTCAACACAGAGCATCGTCTCGAGCTTGTAGGGAAAAGCTATACCAGCTATAATCCCTGCTCCTGGGATATTTCTTTGACTGCCATAATCACAAGCTCTTGTAAGAGCTACACTGCTATACTCTTTTGGAGGAGAGGTCTTCTCACTAGGTGCTGCATCTCTGACTTGGGTCCTGGGTGAGAAGGGACAGCGAGACCTCAGCCAAGCTACAGCGGCTAAGGGGCTACAGTGTTTATGGTGTCCGGTGCTTATGGTACTTAGTGACCGCTAGGAAGCAGCGATTGGCGGAAGCACCCAGTCGGGTGCCAGGCGGTCCGTCACAACGGCCACTAGATGTGTCCCTAGGCAGTAATGCAAATACTGCCTTTACTCTAAAAGGGCAGCATTTACATTAAAAAGCCAGCAGAGACCAGCTGTAGACACCAGAAGAGCTACATTAAGCTGTAGTTGTTTTGACCACTATAGTGTCTCTATAACTAATAGTTAATTAAACCTATTAGTATGCTAAAGATACTGCTGTAGGTGATAAAATAATGAAGAAACACAAAAGTGCTAAAAGGCAGTTCCTGTACACACCTCCGTTACCAAGATTTTTTTAATTTTACAATCAGCATATACAAACAAAGACAACATTTACAACTCATATAACTTAGATAATAAGAATTCTAAATATATTCTTAACTGTAAATAAGTGGTACCTTAAAAAAAAAAAAAAAAGGATAGGAGGTATTATTTATGGTTTAACATGAAAAAGCTTTGCTTTAGTGAAATGATGGGTAGTAAATAAAATTTTAATCACAGTTTTAGTATGTTTCACAGTCACAATGCAGATCTTCTCATGTTATTCTATTGCTGCTTCATAAAACCTTGGAGTTGACTATACCATTCCCT